GTGGGGCTCGATCCCAGGACCCCGGGATCATGACCTGAGCCGAAGGCAGACGCTTAACCACTGAGCCACCCAGGTGCCCCTGCTGTGATGGTTTTTTAGACTTTTTGTTTTTCATGACCTTGACAGTTATGAGTATTGTGGTTAGGTATTTTGTAGAATGTCCGTTAATTTGGGCTTGCTTGAAGCTTTTCTCATGATGAGACTAGGGTTATGGGTTCTTGGGAGGAAGGCTGCAGGGGTGAAGTGCCACTTTCAACATACTGGTCATACCAAGGTTACGTGATATCAACACAATTTATCCCTGATGTTTACCTGGCTAAGGTAGTGTTTGTTATGCTTCTTCATTATAGAGTTACTCCCTGTCCCCCTTTCCATGCTGTACACTTTGGTAGTGTAACTAAGTATAGCTGCCTGCCTTTTGACTTCTAAGTTTTCAGTATTTTCTAAATTTCTACAATAAACGTATATTTCCTGGAAAAAAAAAAGCCATAACCAATTTTAAATCCTACCTATACTTCAAGTTTCATCTGAAATGCCACTTCTCTTAAGTCCTGCCCACCTCTCCACCAAGTTAGATGTGGTTTGTCCCATCCTTATGTAATACTGTCCGTATGGCACTTTTATTCTGTTCTATCTCTACACTAAAATGTTATTTCCCCCACTTGTTTATACATCCATCTTATTTCAGAAAGGATTAGAGGGGCTCCTCTCCTCCCTGTGTCTGCTGCAAGGCCTAGTCTATAAGGGACATGGTCATCCACCTCTTAACTTTTTTTCTTCTGTCCTGAGGCTCTCTCAGGAATCTGCTCCAGAATCTTTGAGGACACTAAGTATTCCAGCATGATAAACAGTGAAGAAATTACCTTGGAGAGTATAGTTAAACCAGTCCAGTTTTTCTTGCCCATGTGCTGAGGAAAGCATGCAGAAAGCACAATCGGTAGTATGAAGAGAAGCCCCCAGCCCCACTATTACCTTCTTGGCCATGGGCAGAAGCATCCCTGAGCCCACTGAGGTGAGTGGAGATTAGAAACTATAAGCACCACATTTTCTTCATGTAAAAACAAACAACCAATCTTCGACTCTTTCATACCTTTTTGTTTCTTTTGGCTTTCAGTTTTCTTCTGGTTTAGTCCTGGCTTGGTAGAGCCAGAAACCACAAGCCTCTCTAATTAGCACCCCTACTAAGAGCTTTTTTTTTTATTAAGATTTTATTTATTTGACAGAGAGAGAGCGAGAGAGGGAACGCAAGCAGGGGGAGTGGGAGAGGGAGAAGCAGGCTCCCTGCTGAGCAGGGAGCCCGATGTAGGGCTCGATCCCAGGACCCTGGAATCATGACCTGAGCCGAAGGCAGACGCTTAATGACTGAGCCACCCAAGCGCCCCAAGAGCTCTTTTTCAAGACGGCATTTTATTTATTTAGGTGCTGTCTGAATCTGAGGCAGGATTCTCTGTCATGTAGCAATTTAGAAAATTCAATGATAAAACAGAAGCGGAAAGGAAATGTAAGTAAGTCATAATCCATATTAAGAAAAAAGATCCAGTTGCCATATTTACATCTTTTTTTTTTTTTTTTAATTTTATTTATTT